CACACATATACACACATATATACCATACGAAACCACCCTCTTCGTTACGTCCCCTTTTTCGAGAACAGCCGTTCTCCTCCTGTTCGAGACCAAATGCAACCAAGCGTTGAACCCCGGGTTCACTTTCTCTCTCTCTCTCTCTCTCTTATTCTTTGCACTACTATTATCAAGACTCCTATACTCGTGACAATAGACAATGATAGAATACAACGTGTGTATGTATGCGTACAGTCTCGTACATACACCCATTATCGTAGCAAAACTATAACGATAATAATCGAGAAACCTTGGTAGGGCCCCCATAGAATATTATACAAGCTTGAGCATTTAAACAGGTGATGAAACATATTTCAAGTGTACTTTCTTGCTGCTGCTGTTACTGCTGGTATAATTGCAAGAATAGATCGTATCAAATCTTGACATTTAATTTTCACCAAGCGTATGAAAACTAAAAATTGAACATCCTAAAACCGAAAAAGTCATTCGGATGAATCGTTGTATTTATATTTGTCCTTAAATATTTCTTCGAAATGTTGAAAATAAAATGATAAAATATTAATTGGATTTCTAATTTTGCATGTAGACTATTCTCTCACATTTTTAGACTACTACTACTACTACTACTACTCTCGCATCAGGGATTCCCAAACGAGCGTTGTTCCTATTGTCCGAAGTTCTATTCTCCTTTTTTTCTTTTTTTTTTTTATTTCCCTTCCTATTCCTCTCTTGCATCCGTGAGAGAGATCCACTATTTTATTCAACGAGGGTCAGGTACATGACCTTGGGGGTAGGAGTTAATCGAGTTATACCCTCGAGCGCAGGGTGACAAATTATCGGCACGGTCAACTACTTCCTCTCCCTTTCCCCCTCCCCTTCCCCCCTTTTGTCTTTCAACTCCTGTGTTACTATCACCTTCAATCCCACCCCCGACTACCCCTTCCTTCTTCTTTCTCCCTTTTCTTCTATCAATTTTTCTTTATCAGCATCCTATCGATCTACCATCGACATTCTCGTTTCGTTGATTCGCTTCGAGATAATACCGAAAAGATTAAGGAGGAAAAGTAGAAAAAAGAAAAAAAAAATAAAGATGAGATAATCTAACGCATCGAATATGATAATTAACGAAGTATCGTTTAAAAAGATTAACATGAATAAATGAAACTATAAATTTCGAGAGGATTTGGATCGTACATAGATGTTTTCCGAATAAAATAAAATAAAAGAAAAGAAGAAGAAGATGAAAAAAAAAAAAAAGAAGGAAGGAATAGAAAGATAAAAGATGAATGTGGTACCGTTGTCCTGTGAAAGCTTTGAACCACGGGTGCCCCTCCCCCCTCCCACTCGCCCCCAACACCGTTTTCGCGACTCTTCTTTCCCATTCATCGGCCATTCATCCTTCTTTTGCGGAAATGTCTCACCCAACTCTATGGTGGTCTCCTCCCCCGTTGCGGACAAACAACTATTTCTACCTACTCTCACTCCGACAAAGGTCCAAGGATAAAGAATGAATAGGTGTGGTTAGAAAAAGAATGTCGGACTATCGTCCTGTGAAGTAGGATTCTTCGAAAATCAGATGATACCGAAAACGGATAGGTCAACTGACAAAGACAACAAATATTATACGAAAAGAACTTCGAATTTTTGATCTAATTTGTGTAATTTGTAAAAATGGGCATATAATGGCGTTAATTCCCGCGAAACAATATGAAAAAAACAAACGAAGAACGTATCGAAGTGCAGAAAAATAACTATAGAGAGATAAGGAAAGAATTTACAAGCCCGGTGATCCAGAAACGAACGGAACACAGATATTTTCCGGTTTTAAGCCCGGAATGACTCGAGTTATTCGAACATAAGAATGAGAAAGAAGTGAATGTGGTCGTCGGAGAACAAAATGAACAACATAACCTTTCATCGAAGAAAATCGTGCAAAACAAAAAAAACAACTATAAAAGTACATTTTTTTTCAATTCCCCCCCCCCCATTCGGAAAAAAGAAAACAGCATCGTCAAGATAAAAAGAGATCAATCGACTCGATTATGCACGATTGCGATTGTTCCTTTCCTTTCTTCGAAGATATTCTCCAAAACTAAAAATAAAAAAAAAAAGGACACACACATAAAAGAAAGAAACTCTTAAAAGAAACAAAAGAAAAAAGTATAATCCGAGGTATCCAGTTACTATCGTCAGTTGTTCGCGACTCCTCTTTCGATATATACGCAACCCGAATATGCGATCACGCATACGCCCGGTCGCCCCCGTAGGCTCGGCTCAGTTTGTGCGAGCGAGCGAGCGCACACTTAAATGCGTGTAAGGGTATACGTGAGTACGAGAGAAATAAAGAAAGAGAGAGAGAGAGAGAGAGAGAGAGAGAGAGAGAGTGGCAAGCAGGCAAGCAGGCAAACAGGCAAGCACAAACCAGGCAGGCAGGCAAACCCGTGTAGTCTGTACTTGTACGGGACCTTTAGCGGCTCGTGTGAGTCGGGACGATCAATGACAAGCGCTCAGTCTCTCTCACTCTCTCTCAGTCTCTCATATATATACGATTCGGCCTCCTCTACTTCGTCGCGACGGAGGCAGCAGCCAGCACCGATGGAAGCAAGCAAGCAAGCAAGCAAGCGATCTCCCTTCGGGCCACGGGCCTGTGCAAGAGGGCTCCCTCTCAATCAAGATAGACGCGCGAGAGGCTTAGCACCGAGAAAGGGAGCGAATGCGAGAGAGCGCCGCTTGAATTTCTTCCGACGGTAAGCGTAAAGGAACGAGAGAGAGAGAGAGAGAGAGAGGGAGAGAGAAAGGGAGAAAGAGAGATTGGCGGCCTGTGGAAAGCAACGGGTAGGAAAGAGAGACGGATAGAACGGGAACAGCTGTGTGCATGAGAAAGAGAAAGATAGAAGACTTACTGCTCGGAGTCTGTGCGCGATGGGGCGACTGGGACCAAACGGGAAAGACAGAGAGAGAGAGAGAGTTGGCTGCTAAAGAGAGAGAAAGAGAGACCAGGAACGGTGATGTGCGAAGTAGAGGGAGAGTCAGAGGAAGAGAGATAAAGATAGGAGGTTATAACGCGAGAAAGAAGGATAGAACCTTGAGTGAGAGAGAGAGAGAGAAAGAGAGACGGTGGCCTCCGTTAGAGAATAAGAGAAGAGAAATTTCCTAGTAGTGGTGTGAGTTGTTGAAGAAGAGAGACGGTGAACATACCGCCACAGCCTGTCTGTGCCTCTGCTTCGGAAAGTGACTAATGACTAGTCGACCAGACCTACTCTTCTACCACCCAGCGAGAGAGACCGAAGTGCCCCTACTGAGTCCGTCCTTTTCACTCTCTTTCTCTCTCTCTTTCTCTCTCTCTCTCTCTACACCTTTCTCTCTATCTATCTCGTAGCCCCAGAGCAACGCGGTGTAGGATATAGAAACACGAGAGAGTAAACGAGCAAGCCAAAGCGTGAAAGAGTAAAGAGAAAGGAAGATGGAAAAAAAATGAGAGGAAGAGGAGGAGGAGGAATAGCAGCAGCAGCAGCAACGGGCGCTGCTGTTATCTCTCGCGGCCCTCAACGGACTACGACGACGACGACGAGGACGACGGTCAACCGTGAAAAATGACTATAGCCTGGAAAGAAATATTTTACGGGCGCCGTATGGACGCGTTACACGAGCCGCGGTTACGTACGCATCCTCTTCTTCTTCTTCCAACCCACTTTGCTAATGTAAGAGTATCCCTTCTTCTTCTTCTTCCCCTTTCCCCTCACCTGCCCATTTCTTTTCCGTTCCCTTACCTCTATCCAAACTTTTCATACTTCTCGCAAAAGATCTGTCCCGAACCCCAGGGACACCACAGTCGAGTGCATTACAAACCAACTTTAACTTATCTATTGAACAGTGCGATCAACCAACGAGAAACACTCGTTGATATCAGCGAGAACAAAAAAAAAAGAAATATTAGGAAAAAGAATCCTCCTCTTCCTTCTTCTTTTTCCTTTCGAAGCTTACCTATACTTGTAAACGGGCCCGCAGTTTTATTCGTGAGAAAGAGTAAACGTTTCCGGCGTTACTTCCGCGCTTGGAATCCCACGCCTCTGTGGCTTCCTACTATCCAACGTTAAACTCAAACTACCGGTAGTGAATCTATTGCCAGTGGATCCAACCAACCACCCACCCACCACCATCCTCATATCCGAAAAACCCTCCTCCTAGAGTTTTCCATTGAAAACATTTGCCATAACATTGAATTTCAATATCTGATATCTCGTAAAAACAAAATAACATAGACAAAAAACATGGTAGATGATGATGATGATGATGATAATCCGTAGCGAGATTTATCGATAAGAATGATGACCAACCAACCAACCCGTTCGTTCGTTTTTACATTTCTCAGAAAGCACAAGGAATAACGCGCCCTGGAAGAGCATAATTTTCTCTCTGTTTAATTAGATGCAATTAAGCGTCCACCTTATCTTAGCACGCCGCAACTCTTTTCCTAAGAACCCGGTGGTGATGGTGATGGTGATGGTGGTGGTGGTGGTGGTGGTGGTACCCCAAGAAACTAACTCTTCTTCTCGTCGCGCTTTTTCTTTAACGTGTCCGAGAGAGATAAATTCCTAAGCTCGTAAACTCGCGCCCCTCCTATTTCCTCTTGGCAAGAGTAAGAAGGAAGAAAGACAAAGATATATAAAATGGGGGGGAAAGGGAAAGGGAAGAGAAATAAAAAAAATTTCCGTCGTTTCTTGATCCTGAATGGTCGCACTCGCGATTACGTTGTAATCATCGTCGTTGCTAATGGCTCGTAACGATCTTTTCTTCGTATCCTTTTTACTTTGACACGATTCGAATTTTAGGATGTATATTATTATATACTACGTGCAACAATGTATCGTAAAGCTAAAACATTTCTACTTTCTAAATTTTCTTCCTTTATCGTTTGACTTAAAGAAGAGTAACTATGATGAGAAGATATTTTGGGAAAAAGTGTAGAAAATAAGCAAGCGTAATCATTTGAAGTTACTCACTTTGTTATGCGGCAACTGTGTAGGCACGTATAGAGGAGGATCCAATCCGGGATTGGTAACCGCGTGACGTCCAACGATTCTGTCCGCCGGTTTAGCGTCATAACCTTCCGGTTGGCCGATGTGGAAGCCCTTGCTCTTTACCCAAAACCTGAATTTACTGTTCTCTGCACTGTTCACTTCCTCCCCTCGCAGAGTTCGCAAAATACGCGCATACTTTTTGATCGTGATTGTTTTCGTTTTTGCCAAATCACCGTAAGTCTTTATCACCCAGGGCTGATATGCATTGAACATGCCATCATTTTGAAACTTCTTAGGTAGTGCCACGCTATCCGCCGTCTGGTTTTGTTGCCCCTTTTGCTGTGCCGAACCGTAACCACCACCATTCGCATTCACGTTCGCCGACGGGATACCTGGAAATGCCATCGTCTTTACACCGGTGGAATTCGAATCGAGATTCGTGCCGGTGGTTTTATTGGTGCCGTAACCAGAGGCCAGAGAGTTCGTGGCGTTCGAAGAGCCCAAGGAACCGCTGGTCATGTTGGATATATCGAGATAAGACACCGACGAACTCTTACCGAGATTCGTCGCGTTCCCAACGAAGGTCGCCATTGACGTAGACATGTATGGTGGTATCGATGTCGTCATGCCAAGGTTGGTGGCACAGAGCCCGCTAGCTTGCCCGTTCGTCATGGCTAATCCGGTGACTGCAGCATAAGTCGACACGTCCGACATGTTCGATGTGGCTGTTGACCAGTTGCCCGCTGGAACGTTCGAAGGATGATCGCCATTGACAACGTTCGAATTATTATTACCGGATGATGATGATGATGATGATGATGATGAGGATGAGGATGATGACGATGACGATGACGTTGTCTTCGTTTGATTGCTAGATCTGGAAATGGAACTCCCACGACTCTTGCTCGAAGAATTAGTATCCGTTAGGGAAACTAATCCGGAATTATTCGAGGCTGACGATGAACTCGAGGAAGCATTGCCCTTGCCACCGCTGGTGGTCGTACCACGTGACTTCTTTGTCGGTGGCTCCTCTCGAGAACCATTCACCGAATTTAGGTTCCCCTGAGACGGACTATTGTTATTCTCCGATCTGGAACGTTTGCTAGAGGCAGAAACGTTCGTGGAAGAATGACCAGAAGGCGTTGGCGAATTGTTCACCGGTACCCTACGGCGAAGACCCATCGTCGCAGTCGCCATAGTGCGATTAATGCATTTAGAACGCACGTGCGCGTGATTTCGTTTGCTGCGTGCCTTCTCGTACGACGTCGACGACAACGTTCCTGACAAGAAAACCGACTCTTTAGTTAGTTCGGCATTCGTTCGTTCGTTAGGTCGGCACGACTGACTTATTCACGGTACTCTTCAATTTTTTTCTTTTCCATATAGAATCCCAACGACTTCCTATCACGAGATATTATCTACCAGCAATTATTCCGTTCGTCGGGATGATTCAGGAAATCTGTTCTCCAATCGATACGAACGTAAGAAGAGAAAAGACGTGATTTTCTTTTCTTTTCTTTTCTTTTCTTTTCTTTTCTTTTTTTTTCCGTTTTCTTTTTCCACAGAAGGAAATCCCGTGTCCTGAAAAAGAAAAGAAATAGACGAGACGTGAGAAGAGGAAATTAGCTATGCGCGATTAAGCGGCGGAAACGTTTAAACGGGGGCGTCGCTAATGGACTGCCAGGCAGCCGAGTAGGCGGGGGCTACTACTGCTGCCGTAGGAGAGGGGTAGATTATAGCTGCCAGAATATAATATGTGGCAGAGATTCACCTGGAAAATTGACTTTCGGTCCCGATCGTTATTCCTCGCGAAATAGACTCCCTACTGCAGATAGAGAGCCTACTTTGCCAACAAACACCGATTACCCCACCAACCGAACAAAAGATTACTTTTCAAAAGCTTACAATGGAAAATCATTCTAGCATATACACACACACATATATATATACTTCTATTTTTTTTTTTTTTAATTCTCAATTGACTTCCGAATGGAAAGCAAGAAAGTCAACCTTGTCTCTGTGCATTGTTCCTCTCTTATATCGCATAACTGTTTCGAAAGTTGTCGTCATCGTGCGGAGATCGTTGTTGTTAAGAAACGAAAGGTCGCGAATCCTCGATAAAAAGAGAGAGAGAGAGAAAAAAAGAATGATAAAAGTTATTTTACACGGAAGAAATGACACGTCTCTTTGCGAGTATAATTTGCGGTATAATAATAATAATAATAATAATAAAAAATAGAAAGACAAAACGTGAGAGGAAGAGTATTAACGTAAATCTAATTTAATAAGACTGATCGAAGCCGTCCCGACGCACGATAATAGTTGGGCTTAATGGCCTTGCCGCGATGTATCCGCACGTTCCTTCTTCTGTTGGTGATGGTGGTGGTGATGGTGGTGGGCGCGAAAGTGACACTCGCTGCGGGAATCTAAAGACAAGCCAAGTTAAGACTCCGCCAACTATCAAGACGAGAATGGGCATGAAGTATCTGAAGAAAATTTGTTAAACCTAAACCGATTTCGATCAAAGTAAGTCACTCTCTCTCTTTATCTCTCTCTCTATCTATTAACAAACGATCTCACAGTATTTCTAATATTAATCAATCTAATCGAAGGAAAACGCTGAACAACTAATTAACGCAATTTAACGCAATCTCGTAACACATGTAGAGTTAAATGTTTAGAAACTAATTGATTTGAAAAAAAACAAAAGGGGTAAAAAGTGAAAGGTCGGTAGTGAAAGAATTTTGGTAGTGTAGTCTAAAATAAAAAAAGAAAGAAAGAGAAAGAAAGAGCTGTCCCGGGAAAGGCAGGCAGGCAAGCAAGCAGATTGTAAGGTCTCGGGGCAACAGCAGCAACAGCAGCAGCACACGAAGCCCGCGAGTCACGTAGAGGCGCGGGATCGGCAAGTATTATGGCGCGCGTCCCTACACGCATATACTGCTCCACCTCCTTTACGAGAGCTTCACCTCCAATGTCTCCTCCACCTCCTCCTAGTCCTCCTCCTCCTCCTCCATCAGCAGCACCAGCAGCACCACCACTACCACTACCACTACCGTTGCTTGCTACTGCTGCTTGCACCACCTCCACCAGTAGCACCACCACCACCACCACCTCCACTACCACCACCTCCACCTCCACCAAGAGACCGGAGACCCCGACGCCGCAACCGACGTCGCGTTATACGTATTACGCGGCAAGCAGGCAAGCAGACACAAGCAAGCAAGCAAGGAAGCAAGGAAGCAAGCACATATAACGCAAACGGTTGCCGCACACCACACCGACCCGGTGTCACGCTACGTGCTTCCTGCCCGCAGGCCGTGGCGCGACGAAAGGCCTTATGTCCGCCCGCCTCGTGGGACGCTCGTGATCGCAATGTGTAATCAAGCTCGCCACGGCTGCTGTTGGCTGCTGCTGGCTGCTGCTGCTGCTGCTGTGTATTACCGCGTAAAGCGTATACTGCGCATAGGCTTCTGCCTTACTCCTCCTATATACGTATATAGGTATATATATATGTGTGTTTGTATGTATGGATGTACGTATGTGATCATCCAAGCATATCTATTCTATGTACGCGTTCATGCATATATATATATATGTACCAGTATGTATCTACATAACTGCATGGCTAGTTAAAAATGTCCAAAAGTCTTTTTTTTTATTGTTCAATTTAATCCAAAGAAATCTGTTATAAGGATACTTTTCATTCAAACAATGTGACACACCTGATTTATTATTTGCCCTTTTACTTATTTATGTATGTATGTATGTATGTATATATGTATGTAGGTACTTATATACACGACGGGCCAATGCCGCACCCGAGAGTCTTTTTGCGATCGATTTCCCGAGCCGGCAGATGATACAATTATAGAAGCCAACGTGGCTACTCTATGAGTCCTATCTTTGGAACGAACAATGGATGCCCGTAGGATAAAACCGATTGAGCAGAGCGGGTAGTTCTCGAGATAGCTTTTCGTGCGAATCCGTTCACTCGTTCACCCGCCGTTCGGCCGCCCGTTGTTGTTAACGGCTTTCACATCTCGACGATCTCCGTTAATCGATCGTAGAAAGCAAACGCGATGATGTTCCTATATCGCGATACATCATATCCTAGTTTGTATGAAAATCTTTCCGCTTGGAATCTATCGATACACGTTCGATACAATACATTTTAACTATTATTATTATTGTTATTATAAATGATAAACATCAATGAAAATAAAATCATTGTAAAATTATAAAATGTAATTTGTTTTTGATGAAACATATTAGGGTTGAACTAAAAATTGATTGTTCTGTTTTGTTTCAAATAGTCTACAAATTTTCTTTCAATGTCAATAAAATGATTATTTATTGACAAAATTGACGAACTTTAGGTCCACCCTGATGGATAAAAAGGATTGAACAAAAAGGGACAGAGATTGATAAACGTATTTCCAAAAAAAAAAAGAAACAAGAGGAAAAACCTAGTCCCCGATAGTTAGCAGCAAGTAAGTGCCTTTCTCGTGGTTATCCGTTAGACAGTAACTACGGCCACGGAGAAAACGTTTGAGGCACACGAGCGGTAAGTCTCGTGCGACGATAAGTTGAATTCCCAAACGGGCGGGTGTGGCGACCGGCCCGCAGCGGGTACCGGAACGGATGCCGCTATCTTCACCGTCGGCTAACACGTATCCTCTCCTCTCACACACACTGCTTCGTTTCAACCGCAACTTTTGAGCCCACGTGAAGGGATTAACCCGTCGTCGCGTTTTTTCTTCTTTTGTTTTTCTTTTTCTTTTTTTTTTTGTTCTTCTTCTTCTTCTTTATCAACGCGAATAATTCTTGTATTTTTCAACGGGATAATTATTATTATTAAAAATGAATAACGCTTAACGCACAAATGTACTTTTGTTTCTCTCCCTTTGTTTCTTTCTTCTTTTATTTAATCGAAAACAAAAAAAGAAAGAAAAAGTAAGAAAAAGATTTCAACGCACGTAAAGAAAGCAACAACAAAAAATAGAACGAAACGGGGGGTATCTCCCCATTTTCTTCATCTTCGTCGAACTTGAATCTTTTTCGATAAGGAAGAATTGATGCAGCCTAATGCACAATATAACAAAATATATCGCACGATCTTCGATAAACACGAGGATACTTATCACTAAAGAAATAAATAACCATTGACATCGTGTGTGTGTGTGTCTTGCTAAACTTTCGATCTATGTGATGATCACTTCTGTTAACTGGAACGATGATCGTCGATCGATAAAAGCATCGAAATACACGAACAAAATTAAAAACTCAACGAACTTTCGATCGAAAGATTGACAATTTGAAATAATTGACTGCACACGATAGAGAAAAAAATTCAAAAAATTGAAAACAAAAAAAAAACAGAAGAAGAGAAGAAAAAAAAACGGCACAAGAGATGATGACACAGACCTGATTATTATTAGCTGGAGGCTTGCTGCCGATTTCTTCTTTTCTTCCTTAAATCCGTAGTGGCTGGCGCGTGTTCACGCTCAGAATGTGTCACTCTTTCCTTCTCTGGCTTTTCGACTTTCGAACGAACGAACGAACGAACGAACTAACTAACGCACGCACCCCTCCGGATTCGTGAAAGGAGGAAGAGAGAGGATGATGGTAATGGTAAGTGGAGTGAGGTCGAGATGGTACGGGAAAAATAAGGAGAGTTGAGCTAGTGAACAAACGAGCGAGCGAGCGAGCAAGCGAGCAAGTAAGTAAGTGAGTGACTGACTGAGTGAGTGAGTGAGTGACTGAGTGACTGAGTGAGTGAGTGAATGAGAAGGAACGAGGGACAACCACCACTCTTGTGCGTCTCGGCCGACGTCGCTTGAGACCTCCTCTCTTTCTTTTCTTTTCTTTTCTTTTCTTTTCCTCTTTTATTCCTTTTTTTTCTCTTCTCTTTCCTTTCTGTCGGAAGCTACCATCTTCACACGCTTAGGATTCGGGCGCACGCGGCAAAGTCGACTCTTGTGCACGGTAAGATCGCATGAGGAGGAGGAGGAAGTAAGAGGACTAAGAGAGAGAGTATAATGGGAGGTGGGGGAGGGGGGAGGGAGAAGGAGGAGGATTTGAAGAAGAAGAAGAGGAAACGGAGGTGGAAGGAAGAAGAAGAACGAACAACGATAGTCAGACTCGGTGACTCGGTGGCCGAGCGGTATCTCACCCGCGAAAAGCGTCCCGCGATCAGGTGACAGCGGGAGTATACACCGGCAGTGTTCAAGTGTGATAGAAAGAGAGAGAAAAATATAGAGAGGAAAAAAGAGAGAGAGAGAGAGAGAGTGGCCGCAAGTGGGAGGGAAATGGGTCTCCCTCTCTCCGTCTAGTAGGAAGGACGGTGGAGGACGCTTGCTCGGCATGCGCGCGCGCGAGAGAGAGAGAAAGAGAGAGATTGAGTGAGAGAGGGAAAGGGAGTAGAGAGGGAGAGGGAGAGGGAGATCGAGACGTCTGGCGGCGTGAGGAAAGAAGGGAGGAGGTGGAACGTACGGGAGGTTAAATGCGCCCGCAAGCAAGCAAGGGAACGGGCGAGCAAAGAGGAAGAAGAACTGAGAAAGACGGAGGAGTCCGAAGAAAGAGTTTGGATAAAAGGAGGTGGAAGTGAGAGAGAGGGATAACCAGCACTCTCTCAAGTACCAAGAGTGTGTGACTGACGGGCAAGGAAAAGAAACGATTGAGAAAAAGAAAGAGAGAGAGAGAGAGAGAGCGAGTGGGCGATAAGGATGGCCCGAGTTACTACTGAGTGAGCTCACAAAGTGAAGAAGAAAAAAGAAGAAGAAGAAGAGAAGGAATAAGAAGAAGAAGGAAGACGCGTGGTATGATGGTGTGAACAGTAAGGGATGAGGTAAAGGTGGTAGCAGCGTTGAAGGTGGAGATGAAGGTAGAAGTAAAGGGAGTTAGGGAGGTGGGAGATCGGCAGTCAAGCTGGCAGGCAGGCAGGCAAGAAGGCCGGCTGGAGGGACGGAAGGGCTCCCTGATCGCTTCTGAGTGCAAACGGTTCGACGTGCGGTGGGACACTGGCAAGCAGTCGGGCGGGCGGGCTGGCTGAAACTGCTGTGGATAGCGGGTGGCGAACGGCGCGGTGCGATACTACTCTACGGAACGGAACGGAACGGGATGGGACGGGGACGGGACGGGACGGAACGGGACGGGACGGAACGAGACGGGACGGGACGGGACGGGACGAGACGAGACGGGACGATGGGCCGCCGCCGAGAGAGAGCCGGGCCGGGACCCCTATCCACACCACGAATACTATACAGGCTCGCACGTGGATGCGCGCGCGCACACACGTTCAAGGGGACCGCCACCGTGTGCGCGCGAGCGTAGAAGCCCAAACGAGGGAGCGAGAACTAGAGAAAACGAATGAGAGAAAATGAGAGAGAGAGATCTGATCCCGATGTAGGGGGAATCCAACGACGCGTACCGGAGAACGCAGTGGCGCATAGGCGCGTGCTCACACAGATATCGTCTAGTGGTCTCTTTGTCGTCATAGTCGTCATCGTTGTCGTCGTCGTCGTTGCTGCTGCTGCTTAGTGGTGTCAGTCTGATGGCGAAAACGGCGAGGGCGACAGAAAGGGCGACAGCAAGGGCGACAGCGATGACGAAGGCGACTGAACGAGAGACAGAAAAGGCGAACGTAGAACCAGCAGCAGCAGCAGCAGAAGCAGAAGCAGCCAGGCTCAGCGTACGAGCATCGTTCCGATGCTACGTTACTACGCCAACGGTTCTGCTGCTGCCTGTCCTCGGCTCAACTCGGTCTCGCTCGGGCGTTAGCACTCCCGTCGCCTCCTCCTCCTTCTCCTCCTCCTCCTCCTCCTCTTTCTCCACCTCCTCCTGATTCCTCTGCCTTCGCCGCCGCCGCCACCTCCTCCTCCTTCTCCTCCTCCTCCTAGTCGCTCTGTCGTTCGAGCCGATGCTCTCTTCCGCAAGCGCGCGTGGACCGTCTCTCTTTTTTCATATTCGCTTCCGTCTTTCTTTCCTTCCTTCCTTCTTTCTGTCTTTATTTTTTTATTTCTTACTTCCTTAGCTTTCTAGCTTTACTTCTTTCCCCCTTCGTTCTCTGACTTTTCTCGTCTTGTTCTTCTTACTCACGCGTTAACGCTTACTCGATACCCTTCTCTCCCCCCTGATCCCTTCCACTGGTTTTTCTCAAATCCCCCGACTCCAGCACCCACCCAACTCCCCTTTTTTTCAACCGTCTTTCTTTATTTCTTTCTCTTTCGCATCCTCCCTCGTGTTCTTCTAACCTCACTCCCCCTCTTCACCGATACATAAGCCCAACACTCTGAGCTAGGCTTGCCTTTACTTCGTTTCTCTCGCTGTAACTATCCCTCCCGCCCCTCCCTCACTCTCTCGTTCTTTCTCTTTCTCTCTGTTGCCCTTTTCCATTTCTTGCACATGTGCACGTTTAACGTCGAAGAACGGTAGCATCTCGTCGTCTGCTGTTGCTGCTAGTGCCTGTTTTCCAGCTTGCCTGCCTGCCTGCCAGCATGTTACGAGCTTTTCACAACTCGACGAAGAATGACGTTTCGAAAAAGAAAAAGAAAAGAACGATGAAAAGGAAAAGTGACGATGAAGGACAGAAAATACAGCCCGAGATACCTTGTTGGGGGATATAACGAATGTCTGCTATCTCCCAACGTCAGAAATCCTAATTTTCGTTTGGGAATTATTATCAAGAAATATTATTTGTGATTTTTTTATGATTGTCCGACAGATCCGACGAGATACCGACAAATCCTAACGATCGATATTAGAAGATCTATTTGAACTTTTTAATCGCGACAAAATCTAAATGAAATTTCATATACCATATCGTTTATCCTAAAAACAAAAAAGAAAAGAAAAAGAGAACAAAAAACAAAAAAGACCGATAAGTAAAAGTTTCTTAACGTTAACTTTTTGATTTCGATGAAATGCTAACTTTCGTATCGGCGTAGGACTTAAAGCTCAACAAATATGACGACAATAATACATTCGCAATACCTTCACGGATGATCGACTCTACTCTCCTACTTGTACTTTTGGGAATTCGTCGGTGAAAAGGCTCTGAGCTGAGACGCTTAACTATTCCGACCAAGTATGCGCCCACACGAAGTCGACGAAGTAGTTGGTGAGTCCTCCAAGTTCCCTTAATCTCGGCCACCTCCTCTGACCCCGCCCCCGCCCCCACCACACCTCCGCCCTAACTCCATTCCCTTCCCTTCCCCGACCTACCCCCGAAGCCAACGGAGATGGAGACGACCGACTTCGTGGAAGTGACTTTACCCACTTCAGAAATGCCTTTTTTCGTATCGAAAAACTACACTGCTTCATCATTCGTTTTGCCAAACGTGAATACTTTATACTTCATCTTTTGAATATTCTCTTCAGGACAACGCGACAATCAATTTAAACATTATCCTTACGATAAGCGTATCCTACATCCGATTGGGATTAACAAAAGAAAAAGAGAAAAAAAAGAGAAAAAAGAGATCTTCCAAAGATGACTTTGGGTCTAAGCGAATTCGGTTAGGCGAGACAAACGGCACTCGTAGGATATTAAAGGAAGGGTCCATGAGAAAAATAAAAGATAATAATAAAAGGGGGAGTGAGAAAGGGATACAAATGTACGCAGTGGGAGGGCGGCGCCCTTTTTTTATACCGGACACGAGGTGAAGAGGGGAGGGGGTCCAGCTGTGGTCTATCCTTGTTCGGGATACTCTAAAGGGGGTCGAGGATTATTAAAACGGAGAAGAGAAGAAGTGGTGGTGGTTGGGGGGGAGAGAGAGGAGGGGAGGGGACTCGAACTGTTACGGGCCTCTCTACTGCGTTCCGCAGCCTTTGCTAGGAAACCGAAGCTTGGCTCTTCCCCACTCAACCCTCTCCTCCTCCCCCTCCAACTCTCTTTCCCTATCCCCACTTTAACTGTCTGCCTGTATGTCTGTCTCTCTTTCTCCAATTCGCTCTAGCTCACTCCTCCTTTATCGTCCTGATTCGGTATTCAAGCTCGAGCTGCTGTGGTGCATGCTCGGTGCATAAAATACCCCCTACAATGATCCCAATCAACCGTGGCAGTCATGCGAGGATCTCACCAATCAGGACTGCTTTGATGCCAAGCGACAAAAACTAGGCGCTAATTCAATACGGATTTCTGTTTCTATATCGATTTGTACGATAAAACATCCCCTGCCGGTTGCCCCTTGTCCCATGTCCCCGTACGATGCGTAGTATTATTATTTAACCGCAAGATTTGAAGTTTTATGCGTTTCACTGTGGGATCTTTTTACTCGCAAACGATTAACCTTTTAAAACTGATCGTTTGATAACAATACTACACGTTTGTCAATATCGAATTTATTCTACGACTTCGTATACGACAAAGATGTTTTCTCACTATGAAATATTTCAAATTCCTAAAAGTTCAATTGGTATCATTTTCGAATAAATAGAATGTTAGGATGTTTTAAGTAACATTTTTGAAATCTTGGCATATATATTCGTCATACAAAAAGACAGAATAAATCAACAAGCAGCACGTGTCTTAAAAAACGGACTCTCTACCTGCGAACAGAATTTAAGTATCTTTCTAATACTTTAAAAGAGGGGACCTCAGACTATTGTCCTGTGCTCAATAAACGCTTCTTTAATGCTATTAGTATACCCGTTACCATATCCAGTCTATAATCTCAATCTTAAATCCATTTTGCCTAATGTAAATTTGAAACGTGTAATTAGATTTGATGTAAAACTTTTATTTCGGTTTATTCGAATCAAAGAGA